CTACCCGGTCCTTGAAATTGTATGCGTGCTTTTCCCTTCACTAAGGTTGCGGAAATTTGCATGATGACTGCTTCTACTGTGTAGGCTGAACTCCAACCTTGTTTTGTTAGAAGTTCCATGCAAATAGCGCCTCCTATAAGGACGTAACCACCAGAGATCATGGGATGCACAACTCTAACAAAGGGAGGTTCGAATGGATAAGTTTCCTGCAATCATAAAAATAAAGAAAATTTTCTTTTCAATCTAAAAAAATTGATACATAAAAGAATATTGATGTCATATGAATAAAATTATGAATAAAATTTTCAAAATATTTACCAGTCTATATTAATATCATATATAATTAAAATATATTCAAGATATAAAATAAATAAATTCTTAAAAGTGATAATATATTAATTATCTAAAATACAACTAGAATCAATAATTTTGATTTATATAAAAATATGAATTATGAATTAAGAACATACCTTAAAAAGCATGTTAAGAAGAATACTGTCTTTGCCTTCCTTTTCTTTTAGAAGTATGAGATCGCTGTGTAAAGGTGAATCAGGATCAACACACATCAACCTGACATTCCATTCATACAAACTGTCATTTACTAATTCTATGCTGTACATTCCTATAAATTTAATATTTAAATATATTAATAAATTTAAGTATTTTTATATCATTAGAACATCTTAATAAAATTACAAATTAAAGATAACATACCTTTTTTGAAACTGTCACTTCGGTAAATATCACGCAATTCTTTCATAAGTCTATCTGTGGCTTGCACACTGCCACAAACAGATCCTTTTAAGTAATCTTGTCTTTGATTTTGTCTCAACCTTTCTAATGTTGCAAGATGTTCCAATTCTATTTCTTCACCCTTAAAAATATAGGATAAATAATTAAACACAAATATAATCCACATATAGAAATAATTTTTGTATTCAAATATTGTTATTTACCTTACTCTTTGCATTGGCATCTCCTTCATCCATATCTAAATGAAGATCTTCTTCTGCATCACTTTCTTCATCATCTTCAATATCTTCAGCATCTTCAGCTTCCATTCTTTGTGCTGTAGCTTCATTTGATCCTCCTAAACGTAATGGATCCAAAGCTGTCCTTAACCGTTCAACATCAGGTGGTTCAGGTAATGAATGGAGTCTACATAATTCTTTCAAGAGAATCCCAACTTGGTTAATAACATGGTTGTCACGGCCTGTAGTAGTACTTAAAATTTGTACCGCATTTGTAACACTTGTTTCTTCTGATTCTGCAAACCATACTGGTGGAGTAGAAGGATAGGTTTCCTGTAACATTCATCAAAAATCATATAATCAGTTTATAAAATAAAATAAGAATAATTTTAATAATTATTTTTTATTTTTAGGTTAATTTTTTATATTATATATAATAATATAAATAACTGTTTATTACTTCAACATTTTGAAATTTAAAAAAAAATTCTTAAAATTTTTTAAACTCTATTTTAAAAAAATAAAAAATAATAAGTAAAAAAATAAAAAAAAATAAATAGAGAAAAATTTCCAAAAAAAATTATAGAAAACCTTTATTTGTGTAATAAAAAATTAAAATTCATTTATTATTTTAAACAATAAC